GTCTATATCAAGTATATAAAGACCAAATGCTTCAAAATTCAACATAAAATAGTAAAATTATGTCCACTTTCAAAATGGCGGGTGGCGGCCATCTTGGACTTGAGGCACAAAATGGCCACCAATTGCTTCCAAATGATCAAAAATGGGTTCCTTGTCCCTAATTTAGCCAGGTTTGATAATCTATACATGTTTCTAGGCCAACAATTAATGGACATATGAAATATTATATAATTTTGGCACCTAATTTGCATAATTTATGCTAATTTATGCATCGATATAGCGTGTCTCTTTGGATAAAAAAAAATTCTTTAGGCCCGAGGAACATTTATGACAAGTTAGACATTTGTACTACAAAATGCAGCGTTTGGCCAATTTTTGGTCCTTAACAAGCCTACTAATAGATTTAACAGCTTTGTAACAGCTTTTTTACAAAACAACGATTAGAAAAAATTCGTTTCGGATAATGATGTATTTACAGCTGTTATTGTTTATTTTAAAATCGTACAAAGTACCGTGTAATGTATTTCCAATAAACAGCGTTGTCAGATACGCAAGAGGAGCCTGTTGTTCCTTCATCCCAACTCTTTCATCCTTCGTCGTCAACAGAAAAGGAAATTACTTGGACTACAAAGTCTAGTCCTACAACTTTTGGCGTGGGAACTATTGCAGGCATACGAACAGTTAGTCAATGTGTGGTTATATGAAAGATATTCACAATATTCACAGCCATAAATGACATTTTTCAAAATTTCTTCATTATCAATACAGTGATAGTCACGATATTCATATGATTAGATGCAAATTATGTTTTTTTTTTTTTTATTGATTTAAGTTTTGAGATTACAGAATGTATGAATAAGAGAATAAAATATAAAAAATGCCTAAAATGAAAAATTGTGTTTTTGACAAGTGACATCTCTGTCGAAGTTGTTGGGCTTATTTACCTAAACACAGAAAACATTGTATTTTTTCTTGCAGGCAAACTTCATACAACCAAACCAGATATCCACTATCAGGTATATTCATAATTTTTAACTCGAAATGTTGATAAAATGATTACACGAATGTTCACCCTGAAACGTAGATATTACATGTACTACAAAAACGTAGATATTTAACCCTCAAGTGACCGTGTGGGGTCATTTACGGCCCCAGCCATGTGCTTTAATGTGCCATCTCTTTATTTTTATCCGGGTTTTACCTAGTATGATTTTGTCAGTCTACTAACCCTACACACTTCCGCAGTTTTTTGCAGGGATTAACCAATTAGTGTGGCGTATACAACACAAATTCTTGTAGGGTCATTTATGACCCGAAGTTTAGCGTTGGTTTTTAAACATTGATTTTTGAATTTTACTCAAACGTTCCACTTCTTATATTGTATTGCACTGAACCATGTGCCTCGAATAAGGACATATTGGTAAGGGAAGTGGTAAATCAGTTATCGGTAGCACATTTTGTTTTGTTGATATAAGCTTTAAAAGAGCTTGGGTTCATCTCAATTTTGCAGGCACTTGTATTGAGTCTAATACACAGAATCATGTTGGTACAAATGGGTCCTCTGCTGATTAAAGATCTACATGTTGGCGACATTATCCCGGACATGGTAGACAGGAAAATCCTCAGTGAACATAATGCAGAGAAGTTAATGGCTCACAAAACAAAACAAGATCAAGCTTTAAAATGTCTTCGTATTTTAACAAAACGTGGTCCTACTGCATTTGAAACCATGGCTGAAGTGTTGAGAAAACACAAGAAAGAACTTGCAGACCTAATTGCAATAAAAGTGAATCCTTGCAGTAGTAAAAACCAAATTGCAAATTTCTACATCGATCAGATAAGATCAGATCAGATACTGCACCTTCCCTGGGACCCCGACGACACCATGCACATAGACGACGTCTATGTTAACCTGCAGTGGGTACAAGATGAAAGGAAACCTGCAGTTACTAGTTATGGTGCAATCCAATGCTATACATCAATATTTAAATATACCAAACAAGGGAAGGCACCAAAGAGAATGTCGGTAAGAGGAAAGGCAGGCAACGGCAAAACCACCTTCACAAAGAAGATGACAACAGACTGGGCAAAAGTCACAAAAGGTTTAGGAGAATGCGATGGAGTACTTTCGAAATACAAACATCTTTTAATGATAAATCTTCGCAGCATTGAGCCTTGTCAAACACTGAAAGGGGCAATTGAATCGCAAATCACCCTTTCTACAGAAAAGAGGAAAGCAGTGACAGATGAAATCATGCAAGTTCTCGACTTTGACACTGACCATGTTCTACTGGTCTTTGATGGTTATGATGAATATAACAACACTTCCAAAGATATCACAGACATCATTTACCGTAAACGATACCAGGATGTGTGCACCGTCATCACAACACGTCCGCGGAAAGCAGAAGAACTGATGAACAGACGAATAATGGACAGTGCGCGTGAAATCACCGTCCATTTAAATAATCTGGAGTCAAAAAAGCGTCACTTTCTTGATTGTCAGAAGAAGTCATGGTCAATAAGGAACAATCTCTTAGGCTACGTGATGGAAAAAAAGTCAATGTCCTTGGTGAAGACCCCATTACTGCTGCTGGTCAGGAACCTTCGCCATGTGCCAGGGCTGGAACATTTGAGGCTAGACAGTGGATCCATGCAGGGGCCCAGGGGTGGGCCGAGCAGGTGTACGTGTCCTAGGGGCGAAGATATCACAGAATATGAAGCAGGACTGAGCCAAGGTGTGAATCACACCACAATGCTGCCACACTTCCCATTCACTGGAAATCAGCTGGTACAGTACTGTGGTATCAGCCGGCCACTGATTACATTAAATTCTCTCGAAGGTGAAAAGGGTTGGAGTAAATGCTTGTCAGAGAACTTGGAAAGCAAGAACAAGAAGACTTCTTGCCATCATACATACCAGTCAGATTACACATTGCTATCAAAAATGAGTTCACAAGAGAAAACAGTAACAAGTGATCCGGAATTTGATCGTCATTCACTGACGTCATCAGTGCAGAATAGAGTTAAGGCATTTTTTAATCAGGACAGAATGCAACAGAAAGAAGAGATACAATGTACGAAAGATAAATGCACGAAAGAAAATGCGGACGAGAAGGACGATCACAATACCTACAGCCAAGTTTTAGCTTTTCTTCACAATGATTTGTTTCGGCATTCAACAAATTTCGTCCCAGGAGGGGCAAGCATGCTTTTATATCCGGCGCATCTTAACGAGTACTTTCTTCAGTCGGCACAAGGCCCACCCTTTCGTATGGGGGAGGAATACTGCTATGAAGCAGTGCGACTGTCCAGTTTTAAAGACCTGCCCAATTCAGTTCCGGTACGAGCAACGCGACTTGCACGATCAGGGTTTTATTACACTGGAAACAGAGACGAGGTAGTATGTTTTAGCTGTGGAGGGAGACTTAAGGAGTGGACCTATGGAGACAGTCCATTTATGCGACATCGTAATTTCTTCCCAGATTGCCCACTTATGAAAGGGACTGAGACAAAGAATGTTCCCCTGTTCCAAACAGATGATGCTATTTCTATTAACAGCATTGGCGTCGACGATGATCCTTTCCCAAACTTAGCAAGGTCTTCACCACGTGACCATGGTAGCAATGCGTCCTCACTACTGTCAAGCCGACAAGCACTATCCAGGTCACTGGGCATCAGTTCAGCAGAGGTCGCCACCCCACAGATCACTCATGCCGGGGTTGCCAGTGGTGTACGCTCTAACGAGAACACATCTGCCCCCTTAACTCCACCAAATACATCTCATCTGCCTGCATGTGTCCCTTCACGGATGAGAAATGAGTCTGATCGCCTAGCAACTTTCGTCAGCTGGCCCAGTGGAGCAAGTGTCCGACCCAGAGACTTGGCAAGAGCTGGTTTCTTCTATCTGGGCACGGAGGACCGGGTACAGTGTGCCTTCTGTGATGGTGTATTAAGGAACTGGGAACTAGGTATGGTTACTTTTTACCGCTATGAACGCGATTCTATATATATCCCTGCCTGTGCTGTGTAAATGGTTAAANACGGTACATGTGATGGAAAAATACCCATAATATGAAAGAAAATGTCTCACTGTGGGTTTTTTCCTTCATATGCTTTGCCACACAGGAAAAATAAAAATACTGACAGGTACGGTTCTATTTGTTTAACTTGAGCTCAGGGGAGGCCAAAAAATATTACAACTGCGTCACCAGACTCAATATTCTTTGTGTGCTAGTTGCTACTATAATCAATCATCAATATTTTGATTTACTTTATCAATAGAGTAGGAATAATAACACTGCATTTTGCAAGAATTTGATTAAAACATGCACAAAACTAATGATGATACAGTTATTGTCTGTGCGTGCATGTCTGTATGCATGTGTACACGCGCGCGCGTGTATGTGTGTGTGTGTGTGTGTGTGTGTGTGTGCGTGAGAGAGAGAGAGAGAGAGAGAGAGAGAGAGAGGTATTTATCCCTCTATTAAAAATCTCTGACCAAATATTTGTCTATAATAAATGTAACGGCCGTTAAAATCGAGCAGGTTTCTTTCCCATAAACGAGACAGAAATACCTGCATTCATGGCTCTTTTACAACAGCCTGGGTAAATACAATACGACTACGACAACAGCCAACACACAATAGACGTTCCTTTTGTACTCAGCGTTGCTATGTTGAGGTCAGCGATAGGTAATAAACAGACTCAATGTTTTCTCTACCCTTGCACAGTTCTTAAGCATAATAGAAAGAAACAAGGCGCAAAACAAGGATAATTTTAGAAAACAGTGGTGATAGATATGACGATAAGTCAGTGAAAGGCTGAACACAGGACAAGTGAGTGATAACCTATAACTGTGACCTCTGTTGATTACAACCGTAGCGTTTGGGAGGAGAAAGAAACCGAGCATTATTTGACAATTTTAGAATGAATTATTCAATTTAGGCAACAAAACCAGTTCAGTTTTCCTTTGTAAATTAACAAAGAGACAGACAGACATGGCAGAAGCACTAGCAACAGCTTTCACAAATAATCTCTTGATGTGCAGCATCTGTCTGGGAGAGTATGAGGACCCCCGTGTGTTGCCTTGCTATCATACATTTTGCTATGGTTGTATATCGGACCATGCTTCACGCACACTGACTCCAAATAGGATATTTGTGTGTCCCATTTGCAGAGAAGAGACCAAGTTTCCAGCTGGTGGACTTAACCAACTGAAAAAGAATTTCATCTTCAGCAAGGCCAAGGATATCATAACCCAGCAACGAGAGAGACAGACATTAGAAGAGAAACAGACCAATGTAGCAGCAGTGACACAGGCCATTGCACATATGACCATCAGTTGTGAGAAACATCCTAATAATGAATTAAAATATTACTGTGAAGATGAAGATATTGTTGTATGTGGTGACTGTGCATCAACAGATCATTACAGACATGGTATTGTGCCAGTTGATAAAGTTGCAAAAAGCAACAGAGATAAAATTAAAGCTGCCCTTGTGAAAACTATAAAAACATCGACCAGGTTTAAAGAGGCGGTTGCCATGGAAACAATTGATGATACAGGGGACAATCATAGCAGGATAGCCACTATCAAAAATATTAAAGAACAAGTTCACGGCATGCGCACATACATTGATCAGAGGGAAGAAACATTGATATCAGAAGTGAATTCTGCTTATGATATCAGAAAGAAGCAGAAGGAGGCAAACAAAGACACCCTTGAATTTCACCATTCTTCCTTGCACAGTGCCTGTGACTTTGCCCAGGAACTGGTTACAAATGGCACTGACTCTGATATCATGGTTCATGTTAGGTCTCTGATTGAAAGGCTGGCAGCAATGGAAAAAACACCTGTCCCTATTCTAGACACACCAGCACAGATATCTTACAAACCTGGTGAGATATCTTCTGCCGGACTTGAAGCCATGTTAGGACAGGTGACAGTACAGACACAACCTCCATTAGCCGGAACATATCCAAGTTCACCATCACATCCTCCTGTTTTCTTGGGAAAACCACAATGTGTGCATTCCTTCAGTGCTAATCTGAGAGAGGATAGTAGACAAACATCTATATCTGGGATAGTCATAGATACAGACCTAATGTATATTGTGGATAATAGCAATGACAGAATTAAAATGTTTACACATGCTGGAGAAATTACATTTTGCATTAAACATAACCGTCCACTTAATGTGGCTGTGTCACAGACTGGTGACTTGTATATAACATCAAACTATGACAACTGTGTCAAAGTGTACTCCACCAGAGGTCAGCAGGTGACAACCATGGGTCAGGGTCAACTGAAAGAACCATATGGTATTACACTGAACAGACAAGGTGATGTAATGGTTTGTGACACAAAAGAGAAATCCATCTTCACATTCCATGCAGACAGTGGACAGCTCGTGAACACTTTTCCACTCTTTCTGTGTTCAGGACCACAGAACATCACAGTGAACAGTGTGAATGATAACATTATAATATCAGACATAAGCATGGGCATTGGCTGTGTACATGTGCTGTCACCTACTGGTGATTATATGTACCAGTATGGCGGCAAAAATGGTGAGGGTAATGATCAAAAATGTTTACCAGATGGGGTGTGCACAGACAGCTATGGTCACATCTTCATTGCTGACTGGGGCAGTGGATACTTCAAGATATTGGTACTAAGTCCCAAAGCAGAGTTTGTCAGATACATTGTCACTACTGACGATAAAGAGGATTGGCTACAATATGGCATAGGATTAGCCATCAACCCTGCTGGCCAGCTGGTGGTGGGAGAGAAAAATGGAAAAGTTAAGACATTCCAGTACTTAGAGTAACTATTGATCACATTGTACACTGGACTAAATATATCACAACTTTATTGATGTTTATGAAACTCTAAATTTACCACTGATAATGTGGATAGATTGTAGGAACCAGATCATAATAGTAGTTACATGTAGTTTACTGGGCAATGATGAACATATATAACAATACTGATGTTTATAAAAACCTTATGTTACCATTGATAATAAGGATAGGTTCAAGAAACCAGAGCATTAGATGTAGTTTGTCTTATGGACAGCTGAGATGACAGAGTGGAAGAGAAACTATATTAATTTTGATTAAAATATCACAATACCGTTTACATGTATTTAATAGCTTTACCAATATTGTTCAGGAGGGCGGGTCCAGGATTATTTTAAAGGGGGGGATGCCCACTTGGCAGGTCTCGGATGCAAAGCTTATCCTTGTCCCATTGGTTGTTCGGTATTTTTGGGGGGTGGGGGGGCAAACAGTGCCATTTGGTGCAGTTTAGAACCATGGTTTAGCTCTTCAAAACTCTAATATCAAGAGGGGAATATGTGCATGACTTTTTCCAAAAAAAGAAGGGATGTTTAAGAACGCCAAGACCCCCCTAGATTCACAAACTTTGTGCTTGTTCTTAAATGTTCCCAAGGTTTATGTAGACCAAACTGCGATGGTGGCGGTGAAGTTTTTAATTGGCCTATATCACATGATATGAAGTATCAAGAACAAGGTTATTTTCAGTTGCACTCTGGATTACGCACGCTTGCTCCACAAGGTGTCGCCTGTGGTGGTGGTGGGGGGGGGGGCGCAGCACAGCCCATGTGGTTACTGTGAGGAAGGTGACAAGTACTTCCAAATATTTTTCATAACTGTCATTATTCCTCATTCTGTTCACAAATTTGATATTTACGGCAATGGAATGTGGCACTGGCAAAAGTGGGTCTAGGTGTGTTGACGGGCCGCACAGGTGTCCCCAACATTAACCGCTGCCAGAGAATCCCGAAGCATTAAACTACACAACCTGTAAATATTGGAAATTCGGCCAAAGTTAAGCAAATGAGGCTTTATTAGACTTGGGTAGAAATAGAGAGGAATGTCCAGTGACATGCCAAACCCCTCAGTTTAAGTCTTGGCCTTTGACACCTGTAACGCACCCCTTAGTCAATAATCTGAACAAATCAACGTTTGGCAGGTATGCTTTGTTTTCTACCGGCGCTTTTGTGATTTTATCAACTTGATTGTCCAGTGCCAGACCTTTTGTTCCCAGGTACTAGTAGCAAACTTTATCAGATAACAATCTGACGCTAACCACGCTGTACTAACAGCGTCGTAAACACAGTTATCAATGCTGTCATCTTTACCTGTATCTCTACCGGTATTATACCACTGATACGTCCGATATATATCAGTAAGGAAATATGCTGTGATGCTTATATTTATTTGTAATACGTTAGCATCAACCTGTTCATAAAAACTTGGAACCTTTCAGTATTATTACACAATAATAGTATATTGACATCATGGGAGTTGTTATGATTAAATGCTTAGAAGAAATAATAAAAACAGTTTACGTAAAATAAAAAAAATGAATTAATCTTATTTGAGTTATTTTTTTTTTCAAACCAATTAATTATCAAACATAAATATTATTTTCAGAAACATCAACATATACTACTGCATTATAAATCTGCTGGTACACAGATCTACAGTTCTCAAATACAAATACCAAATACCTTTCACACACAAATGATGAGATGTAAATAATCATATGTATAAAGTAGTAAAAATTTCACAAAATGTGTGTAGGCAAGATATTTCTACAAGTAACCTCATTAATCAGTCAGGAAACTTCATAATGCCCTCAATAAATGTAGAAATTTGAGCAAGAGAAATTCTATATACAGGCATGACAGATGTACCATATATTGCCACCAACCCTTAACTGAATAGACATTTTAAAGAACAAAGTGAGTTAAAAATGAATAAGTAATAAAAAACAGATACTGTCATTCTTAATACTGAAAAACAATGGCACCTTGCAGCCTTCACTGCCTCACTATTTGCAAACAATGTTCTAGTTACTGTCACTGTGTACTTTTGATGAGGCATAGATGCAAGGATAACTCCTTTGAATTATATTGTGGAGGTCTTTTTTGTCATAAATCTGCCACATATAACCTGAATGTACATATTGCAATTCACACCGCAGCGGCTTGTCTTAGTAAGGACTCAACCAGTTGAAAACTTGTGGCACAGTTTCAGGGACTGGATCACACCAACTACCCTTGCAGTGATGATGGATCTACTAGTACATTATCTATGTCTTGTCCTCCTAGTTTCTCTAATACTGTTCCCCCTGAGCTATGCTCACATCAATCTCTACAGCTTTACCAACTTCTACGCAGTTTTTGCATCTGAAAGTATAAAGCGAAAATGTAATAAAGCACTATCAATCTACTTGTTATATATTGATTTCAGGGCGAGAGAAAAAAAAGGCAGAAACCGCATATCATAATCAATATATCATAATCAATATAATTGGAAATCAAATATGTATAATCAAATAGCTTTAATTGCACATACTAGTAATGATTTAATATTTAATTCAGCATGAATTTTGACTCTCTCTTGTTAAAGCATGCCCACTTTATCAAAATGTGCTTGATCAAATAATAATAATGATAATAACAATAACCTGCACACATGATGTTATGGTCAACTGCCACAAAAAATGAGTTGATATGTACTTGGTAGCCTGATAAATAATATCAGGTATTAATTTGAGCAGCAATAATACCACAGAGTTATCAACGACACAAGCATATGATATGGTGTTATGTAGCAAAAATTCATGCATAACTTGCTGTGGCCGTGTCCTCCTTAAACTATCATGCACATTAGCTTTTGATTTTCAATGTCATCAAAATGTTACATTGTTGTTAGTAAGATCTAGGTATCTGCTATTCAAATAGTATCGTTTGGAAAATAACTAAAAAATTTAATTATGCTTTTGCAACACGAAATTATCATTAACTTTGCCGATACACGTGTACACAGTACTTTGCTATCGATGCTGCTCTTTTCTCCCCAACTCGCCACTGACAGGCTAACCACATCGTTCCAAAACAAAGTTGGCATGATCCTTTACTTTTGGTGTTGGCAGTTTCGCCCCGGGAACATCGTCTTCGGTTAAAAACAACGTATCGTATTCACCCATCTTTGCATTGTTCCTGTACAAAATGTCCGCTTGCTGCCCCCAAGGGAAAAATCGTAGCACGTGGGTAGTTACGCAAGACCTGTGACGTATAGCGCGCGCGACCTTATTGCCGAGAAAGCCAAATATAAACAACAGGAGTCCATTAGTCCGATAAATATTAGTGTGTTAATTCATCTTATCGCGTAAGAATATGTCACATAATTGTGAAATCGATTTTTTGCTGTGCAGACACAGTTAGATTGCCTGTATATGAATGTGAATGTAATCATACAAGACATTGACCTAGAAAAATGTTTTCATACCATGTATCATGTATCTCCATTATAACACAGTTAATATACACATATGAAGGTTCAAGCTGTCATGCTGCAGTGAATAATTGAGATGGCCGTGCAATAAATAAAGGTATGGGCTTCAGGATTTGGAAACAATAAATAATTTTCTTTCCGATGGTGACTTGGAATTAGAAATGACCGGATTAAATTATTTATTTGTCAACAAGATTAGATCACTATTTAATAATTTAGTAGAATTTTAAGTTATTTCGTCTGAAATGCGATCAGTAATTTCGTATTGTCAGTATGTCTTAGAAAAATATTTTATATGCAATTTGTTTCTGTCTTATTTTTAGAAAATATTTATTGACATATGCACTTTGAATTATATTTTGAATTATATTTCAGTAAAGCAAAGCATCATGATGTAGAGAAAAATATTAACCTCTAAGGAACATATCTTCAAAGGCAATTTGCTGGATAATTTTTTTTTCTGTCATGTTGCCATTGTCACGAATGTTCTCGATTAATCTTTCAATAAATACAGGTATATAAAACTTTTGATATTAAACTATAAATATTATACTACCAAAATTCACTAAAAAGGCCAAACGCACTTATCAGGCTTTACAGTAAAATATTTTATGGAACTCGCAAACAAGCTTGTAAAATGTTAACCATACAAATGATTATTGAATCCAGCATTAGCATCTTACCTTAGAACAAACATGCACGCGATAATACTTGTGATAAGTAGAAGAAAAGTGAAATACCTTGGTCTTGAATTCCCCGATATCTACGTCAGTCTGCTACGTGTTATGCATTTGCTCTTGAAGGAATATCTTCGTTCATTGAACTGAGGTGAAAACAAGGAAAGGATGTATAACGCGCTCTTAAACAGTTTTTACGCGACATTATTGTATTTTTTTATTTAATTATAATATTCGTTTAATTTTAGTCTAATGTGATACAAATCAACGGGTTTTACAAGTTTCACAATGTTGTGGAGGACATTCTACATTCTTCGTTCAGTGATTATATCGGAATTTTTTACAAGTGTCGCTATTCAGGCGCATATGATACATTTAAACCGATACCCCCTCCGAAGCACCACCACCGCACACACACACACACACACACACACACACAAATAATAATAATAATAATAATAATAATGATAATAATAATAACATAAATAAAATTTACGATTATATTTCCAGAAAGTGTTTTTTTTTTTATCGTTCAGAGAATGGCGTTTACATTGTTGTATGCCATTATGACCTTCTGTCTGCAACCTCCAGTTAATTGAAGTCTTTTAATAATGAAAAAACGACGTTTATTTTTTATTATGATTTTAGTTTCGACTGTGCCCCTAATATAACACACTAGTACTATAAATATAATCTTTAGCTTAGAAAAGTGCTTATATTACATAAAGCGACATCCAGGCGCTATTTCGCTCACTCACGTGCTTACGCATCAGCCTACACCTGCCCCCCCCCCCCTCCGTGGTGCCCTCTTTTGACACCTGAAT